GTAAACAAGTTTGAAATGCTGTGACTTAGTTTGGGCGATCGAACGAGAAGAATCAGGGTTTTATGAGGTCCAGGTCCCGAGAGCAGTTAGCTATGGAATAATCTCAGGTCTCTGTGAAGGGAGATACAGGACAGGCCCTGAACTATGCCACAAATGGAGGCTCCCTTTTTATCAAGGGGAAGATTATGGGTAGATTATAGGAAGACTATAGGTAGTGATTGTGACAGTTTAGAATCTGACTTGATTCTACTGTGGGATCACTTCTCCAATAGCTGAAAATACTCATATTCCTTCAGTCTCTGAGGGGTGTATTTAGAGACAGGCTACATGAGCAGAATGTTTTTTGTCTTACCTCTTCCCAGTGATAATTTGAACTCAATTTTCGGAATTCAGAAGGATGGTATTTCTCTGAGAATTAATCCAACAGCAATAGAAAAACTAACACCAGAGCACAGAGCGTAGGATAGGAAGAATAATTTGGTAAACAAAGTTTTTTTTTTTTTTAAATTTTATTTCTTTTTTCCCCTTTGAGTTAAACAAGCCCAGGGTTCTATGTCTTACAATAAATAATTTACCTTGTTTCCTTATCAGATTCCTTATCTACAGCAAGGAGATCCTTCATTTTACTCACCTTCTACTGCCCACCTACACTGTTTTGGTACACTGGGATCCTGGCAGAAAAGATCAACTGAGTGTTGTTCAGAGCCAAACTCCAATGCCCTTGAATAACAGGGCAGCAGGTTAGATGCAGGTCCTGTCTTAGATCCTTGCTATTGGAATTCTTCCTTGCTTTGGAGAACAGTCACATGGAGGGGCAGGAAGGAATCAAGAAAAGGGACCAAAGATGTAAAGGAAAACCCCAAAAGCACAGCGCAGAGTCTTAGGCAGTAAGGAAGAGACCACTGAGATTACAGAGGGGCCCTGACAATGAGGCCTGAGAAACAGCTACTCAGTGAGGGAAGAGAAGACCACTGGTGATGGCGCAGGTGAACGGTTTGCAAAGGTGGGGAGGAGATGCAGTGGGGTCTGACACTCTTGGAGAAATGTGACTAGAAGAAAGAAGAATGATAAATTGAGAGGGTGACAGGATTAAGATAAGGCTTTTTTTCCTCCTAGTGACAGGAGACCTATATAGCTTGAGGGCAGGAGCAAGAAGCCTGTGCCCAAGGAGAATATGGGTGCTGGGGGTGGGATCCTGCAATTACATAGGAAGGGGAAGATATAGTAGGGCCTCAATAAAAGACTGTTGATTGACTGATAGTTGCTTAGTTGTTGCTGGCTAGTAAACATTGAGATGCTATGTGGTATTGGGGCTAACTGTGCAGGTCCACAGTTCTGTATGATTTGGGGCAAGTTGCTGAGGTCTATTAAGTCTCACTTTCCTTTTGTGTAAAGTGAGAGAATTGATAATACCTATCTTTAAAAAAATTTTTTTTGGTAGTTGTATATGAAGAGCATGCCTTTATTTTATTTGTTTATTTTTATGTGGTGCTAAGGATCCAACCCAGTGCCTCACACATGCTAGGCAAGTGCTCTGCCACTGAGATATAGCCCCAGCCCTGATAATACCTATCTTTGTGGTGAGAACTGAATGTTAATACATGCAAAGCATTTGAATGCTTCCAGGTGAATGCTGGTGAATGCTCAAAATGGTTAAAAAATAAATAGTTGTCTTTGAGAATTAAAGGTGGAAAACTCAAGTTCAAGTCTCATTATACAGCAATAGAATATAAGAAGGTAGAGGTGATTAAATTCACCCAAGGCATAGTCTAAGGTTATCTTTTTTTTTTTTTTTTAAATAGGACTGGACTCCCAACTTCTATTCTTAATCTTCTTTCCTATTTGTTCTCAAAAGAACTTACTTGAAAATTAATCAATCAAAACTTCTGGTTAATCAAATCTTAAACACCCATCATATTAAATGTTTTGGAAACTCTTAAGAGGTAGAGGCATTATTTTATTATTACATTAGATACTGCAGTAATGCTTTATATTCTACATATTGAGTACAGTTAAAAATTGTTTTGGTAAATTTAAGTTAGTTTTAGTTGTAAAATACTAAATTTGCAGCAGCGTTTCCCAAGATTTTAAGAAAAAAAATTTTTTTAAATGAAGTCACTAGCATTTATTAACTAAAAAAAGCCACCAGTAACCATTTATTTAAAACAAACAAACAAAGTTGAGAAGGAAAAAAAATCAGTGTAGTTGCCCTGTTTCTCCCCTTAAGAAATAATGAGTCTGTGGGTGGTCAACAGCTTGGGAGAGTTTTGGGGGGTGCTGGCTCTGTGGTGAGGTGTTATGCAATCAGGCTTATTTCCTTATACCACTTGTCAAGTTGGTGGGACGGGTAGAGCAGCAGCCAGATACTCACTCACCCCTGGGCATTAGGAAAAACACAACAAAAAAACCCTGTGGAGCTTCCAAGAGGAAATGCTCCAAGTTGAGTCAGTTCATGGTATTGCCTTGGCCTTTGCTTGGTACATAAATGCTTGGTTCATATTTTCTCATTCCCAAATAAGTGGGTCATGTAATTAACAAAAGGAAGAAGAGGTGAAGCAGGGATTATCCTAGAATAATCTGTAACTCAATCCTGAGGGTCCAGAAATTCCTTGTTTCCTTCTGTTAAGTATGCTACTCCTTTAAACTAAAAGTGAAGGAAGTTGACATTAACTAGGTAATTTGAATCAATTACCCGTGTGGTTTCATTCAGAAGAACACGGGTTGTGAACAAGGACAGAAAATATTAAAACCCAGATGTCACAGAAAAGCTTGTGTTCAAGCATCCTCCTCATCTTTAGTCCAGAATGGAGGTAGATGTAAAATGGTAAGGACTCTGGGTAAGGTGACAAAAGTGCTCAGGGAATTAATTCGCTGAATAACCCCAGCTCATCCATTTGTGTAGGGAAATGTAGTGTGGTGCCCAAGAGTATGGGCGCAGCCTTTAGATAGTCTAGATCCAAATTTTGTTTCTACTGTTATGTGCATGACCTTGGACTGGTTACATTATCTCTGCATGCCTGTATTTCCAAACACCTAAAATGAGGTTAATAGTTCTTGCTTCATATGGCTGTTGTGAGAATTTTACGAGACACATGCAACAGCCTTAGCATGGTGCCTGATAAGAGTGGATTCTCAATAAATGTTTGCCAATTATCGTTTAAGCACTTTAGAGTTGACAAATATTTCCCTTACAAACCCTTTAAATGGGACCAGCAAGGGGGCAGACGAAGCCTTTACAAGGGACTCCATCTCTAAGTAGTGGAGCCTGAGAAAATGGCATTTCCCACCAGTGGTTGGAGGGGGAAGTGAGCCCTGTGTGCGTGTGTTCCTGGAGGTCAGGAGAGCACAGGCTGTGACCCCTTGATCCCCCAATCTTCTCTTCCAGGACAAGCTCACCATCCCTGACGGTGGCTAACCTCGGCCTATCCTTTAAATAAAACTTAAGCAAATATTCGAGGAATATATAAAGTCAAAGTATTAGCCTTGCCCTGGCAACAACTCCTGCATCAGGCAGGCACACACAACAAATACCCGGGTCGCCCCTCGCTCTGTCTGCATCAGGTACCCTTTTGCCGTTAAGTGCATCAATTCACTCAGAGGCATCACATCCCACTTTCCGCAAAAAGGAGCCTGCACAAGGTCACGAAGCCGCCAAGAGATGGAGCTGGACCCGAAGCCGCGCACCGCAGCCCGTGGCCTGCGCCCCCTC